TTATTTTAGAGCTCAGATCACCCAGGTGTTGTTTTGCTCAGAGCAACACTTTTAGATTTGTGGGCAAAACCACCCGAAACCACTTCTTCATAACCATAAGCTATAAATTTGTCAGCCGTGTTTTCTCGCTTCCTAAAATAGACCCTGGCCCGCTGGCTTCCGGCCACTGGCTGCAGGTGCGCAGCGCCCGCAGCCCTCGCTGCCAGCTCCGCCGCGTCCGAACTTCCCTCAACGAATTAAAAAAAATAAGCTTAATTTATCTTTGTTGAAACTCAGCCCCGAATCGGGGCCCACGGTTCCGAGTCACCACTTTTTGGCCAAATTCGCACCACTATCAACTCCAGAAAAACACGATTCCTGATTATTATTAAATAATAAGATTAAAACATTTAAGATACCGAAAGACCTCTCACATTTTAAAATCACACTCGTCTTAACCACTTTCCACAGAAACGATTTCTGAGATGCCCTCTCAATACTCGGTCAGCCTCCTGAGAGGAGCAAAACGTTTCCTCTGAGAAGCTGCCTCCCTGGGCTGAGCCCTCTGGCCTTGGCCGTGCCAGGGGCCGGGGGCCGCCGTCACCAGGACGGGGGCCACAAGTCCCTCCCGGCCAGGACAGGGCTCTTCCTAACCAATAGAGAAGTCTAAATACAATCTAGCAATTTTTAAATTAAATTGTATAAAAGTAATGGACTTGAAAAACAAATCCCATCTAGCCTAGAACTTGACTCCACCGTTTCCCCGAGCTCACTGCCTGCCCTGTTTCTGGTTCTGCAAACACCTGATTCTGACCGCGAGGGTGCCCACCGCAGCCCCGCTGGCCCTTGGCCGGGGCCCGGGCCTCTCGCCCCGGCGTGGCCCCTCACGCCGGCAGCCCCTCTTTCGGGGGCTCAGTGACTCCCCAACATGCCGGCATTATTTCAATCTCCGAAAGGCATCAGAAAAAAGTCAAGAGGCTCTGCAGTCCCGGAGCCCCGGCCCTTGCCCGCCCCGGCCAGCCTGCCCAGGCCCCCCGGGCACACGTCCCCAGGACCAGAGAACCCCGGAGAGAGGAGCAGAAAATAAAGGCCTGAGAAGGGCCATTCTTACCTGAGGAGACGGTGACCAGGGTCCCTTGGCCCCAGTAGTCCATACCATAGTAATCACAACAGTGCAACCTCCATTCTCACCTCACAAAAACCGGGGGGCTGGCCCCGCACTGCCGGAGGCTGCCCGGAGCCACATGGAAGCCGACTGTCCACGTAACCATGATCCGGAGGGTCCTGGGCCCCTCCACCAGCCGACTCCCCCCAACCTGGCCCCTGGCCATGAACTGACACCCTAAGTGGAACGCGGCCGTCCAAGCAACGCTCCTTTTCCTGACCTCCAAAACACCTCGGCGTCTCTGACATACAGCCCTGACACCCCGATCCCCCAAGTGCACTTACAGTGCAGACAGAGTGAGGACTCACCTGAGGAGACGGTCACCAGGGTCCCCTGGCCCCAGTAGTCTAACCAGCTGTCACATTGTGACAACTAGGCCAGGGTCTTAGGCAAAATCTGGTGCCCGGCTCCGGCCTCAGGTCCACCTCAGGCTGTGCCCAGTGAGGGCAGAGGGGGGCCAAGGTGGCCGAGGCCCCAGAGAGACCCCCCTGGCTGCAGAGCCCCGGAGGAGAGGGATCTGGGTCGTCCTCTCCGAGCCCTTGAGGGCCGCGTCCCCTCATGGCTCCCTTCCTGAGCCCCCAGGCTGGCCCCAGTCCTTCTGGACCCGAGACCCAGACACCCTCATTTTCCCCCCAAAAGCATCAAAAACCGTCAGAGAGAGAGAGAGGAGAGAGGGTGGCAAGGACTCACCTGAGGAGACGGTGACCAGGGTCCCCTGGCCCCAGTAGTCAAAGTCATCACATTGCCAGGGGCCCCGTCAGGCAGTGTACAAAAACCTGGGGCCCCCGCCCGGCGCCGGCCACCACAGAGAACCGTCTCCTCAGGTCTCCGCGCCCCCGGACACCCAGGCCACTGTCCCTTCCACGGCAAAGGGCCCCGTCCCCAACCAGCCTCAGGAGCTCCCCTCTGGGGACTCCCCAGGGCCCCGCATAGAGCACAAAAAGTCTCTGGAAATTCCTTTCCAGCCCCAGGACAGAGGAGGAGAGAGGAAGCCGTCTTACCTGAGGAGACGGTGACCAGGGTCCCCTGGCCCCAGTACTCGAAGTAGTCACATTGCCAGGGGCCCCGTCAGGCAGTGCACAAAAACCGGGGGCCCCCGCCCAGCGCCGGCCGCCACAGAGAACCGTCTCCTCAGGCCTCCGCGCCCCCGGACATGCAGCCCATTCTGCCTCCCACGGCAAAGGCCCCCGTCCCCAACCAGACCAGAGGCTGTCTGCCCAGCCGACACCCGAAGGGCCTCAGGAGCAGCCCCCAGGGCCCCCCATAGAACCAAAAACAAAGCCTCTGGAAATTCCTTTTCCAGCCCCAAGACAGAGGAGGAGAGAGGAAGCCGTCTTACCTGAGGAGACGGTGACCAGGGTCCCCTGGCCCCAGTTAGCAAAGTCGTCACATTGCCAGGGGCCCCGTCAGGCAGTGTACAAAAACCCGGGGCCCCCGCCCGGCGCCGGCCACCCCAGAGAACCGTCTCAGGTCTCCGCGTCCCCGGACACCCAGGCCACTGTCCCTTCCGTGGCAAAGGGCCCCGTCCCCAACCAGCCTCAGGAGCTCCCCTCTGGGGACTCCCCAGGGCCCCGCATAGAGCACAAAAAATCTCTGGAAATTCCTTTTCAGCCCCAGGACAGAGGAGAGAGGAAGCCGTCCTACCTGAGGAGACGGTGACCAGGGTCCCCTGGCCCCAGGGATCAAAAGCATTGCACAGTGACACAGTCAGTCCCTGCTCCCCCCCAGAAGCAAACCTGCCTCGGCCCTCGGACCAGCCAGGCCTGCTGCCCTGCCCACAGCCACACAGACCCCAGGGCTATGAGGGAGGCAGGCAGGGGTGTCATTACCTGGGGAGACTGTGACCGGGGCTCCCTGGCCCCAGTAGCACAAAAATGGCCCCCTCCCCCCTGTCCCACATCTGAGACCAAACACTACACCTGGGTCCGGCACACCAGAGTCCCCCCGTCCCTGGTCAGACAGCAGACTCACCTGAGGAGACGGTGACTGTGGTGCCTCGGCCCCAGTGCTCAAAGTAAGCATAGGCACAGTGAGAGGGTCCCCTCGCCCAGGCCCCAGAAATCCCTGCAGCCAGGAGCCCCGAAGCTGGACAGCCTGCTCCGCTGAAAGGCCCGCCCACCCGCTGTCCCTGGCAGGCTCCCCCACCCTCAGTCCCCAGGTCTGCGTTTGGGCACCCTTCCTGACACCCGGCTTGCTTGGGTCCCTCAGGTCCCGTTCCCTGCTCACCCCTGCCGCCCCTGACCAGGCTGCTCCCCAGCACCCAGGCTACCGCCCACCCCACCCCTCCCCCACCTCGTGGCCTGGAAGGCGTTCCCATCTCATGCCCCTGCCCAACACCCTGGAGCGCCTGGCACTGAGCCCTGGGGTCCCCGCCGGCTGGGTTTTTGTAGAGCTGTCAATCACTGTGGCCCCAGTTAGCACTGTGGTTGCCGGCTCAGCCAAAACCCCCAGGCTGGAGTGCGGGGCAGGTGGGTGGAGGCAGATCTCTCCTTGGGGGGGGGCACGGAGCAGAGGAGACCCCCACACCCAGTGCTGCTCTTCCCTTTTCTTTAGAAATAAGAGCAGACTTCGAGGCTGTGCCTGAGGGTCTCTCATGCTCCCCCCCCCCCACATTTGGGT